CTGTCTACTAACACATAGCATCTGATCTTATTGATTCTTTTATTCTTGTGAATTCTCTCTACTGCTCTTCAGCAGTTCAGGGACATTTGTCTGAATGCGTACACATGCATACTTACAAAGCTTATTAAACTCTGCACACTGCTGCAGAAATCTCTACAGCCTGATACATCATGACCATAGAAAATGTTCCATTTTTTACAAAGTTGGCTGGTATCCATTTCAATTTTAAACTGAACACCTTTAACACAGCACTCTAAATGATTGTTTTACAATGTAAACCAGAAGTAACCATAATAGTAATACCTATTTGTACAGCTGGGGACAGTTTAGGCAATGTTATACCAAAAACATTGACTATTGCAGGCCTTTTAAATACACATCAACTAGACTGGATATTCACTGCAGATGTCTGTAATTAAATTCTTCCTGATTGCAGAAATCTGCAGTTGAATTACGAGTAGCTGTAATTCCAATTTTAGACATGTACAATTTAATTCAGGCTACAAGTCAGAATGATCAGAATTCTGTTAACAAACACGAATGATGTTGCGGATATCTGTTGTGTGAGAAGCTATGACAAGTGACAGGTGGATGCAACTTGCTTTTCAGACATAACATGGCCCCGCATCTGGGCTGAAAACCCTGTCAGCTAACTCCAGAATGGGAGATCAGTATTCTGAGTCCATCCACCCATCCCTAATCTTCCACAGTGGCAAATTACAACCAGATATTAACGGTTGTTTTTAAACTAAGGCTTAAACCTTTCTGATTGCCATTGCCTGTTATATTTATTATTGAGCTGTGCACCTTGTGTTTATCTTCTACTCTGTCTTGTGTAAAGCACTTGAAATAAGTAACATAGTTTTGCCTTGTACGGCATGCTTAGCTGCAAGTATTTAAACAAGTAAATGGGCTGTCCTTATATAGTGCTGTTCTACCTCGGCAGTACTCAGAGTGCACAATGTTTTTCAGTCACCCTTTCACAAACTCACACACCAATGGTGGCAGAGCTACAATGTAAGCCGTTTCCCTGCCATCAGGAGCAACTCTGAGTTCAGGGTTTTGCCCAAGGACACTTCAGCACACTTCCTTAAAACTGCTAACCTTGCGATTAATACGATTAGACAACCTGCACAACTACCTGAGCCACAGCTGCCCAAGTAACCGCTACAACAACAACACAATGCAAAGATCCTAATGTCTGGATGTCAGATCAGCTCACTATTAGTTGACATAAACCTACAAAATCACTTTCAAAAGTCAAAAAGCTATTTTTGAAAATATAAAATATATATAAGAACAAACCATTTCTGTTCTGTGCACTTGAACAGCATTTTATCATCAACTGAAATCTACTGATGAGACTCCAATTGGCTACACTGTACACAATGTATGCACATAGAAGAAAGGATGGGCAACGGCACGCTCTTATGTTTACCAGCAGAAGAGGCACTGCATTTGAAATATTTCAAGGATATTCATATAATCTTGCCAACCCACAAGAATAAAACCGTACTAAACACAGCAGCATTAGAACATTACCATGAACAACGGTGAAACTCTGAGGCTACCAGGAGACCAATAGCTTTTAACTTTTAACAACATTGTACAACTTTGACCATTTTAGTAGCTTTCAAAGCTTGGAAAGGAACTCGTCACTTCTTTAAAGGTGTTCTGAGTCAGAAACTTTTTTACAGCTGATGCAGTACATCATGTAATTTCAGCAAGATTTTCTACAGTGCAGTAAAATAGCCAAAGTAATGATAATGTTATTTAACACACATTTTTCTTCTACTATGAGCTTAAATGGCCTTGTTTGTCTTGGATATAAGAGAGAAAGATTTGCTGTAAAACTGAATATGGTTAAAAGACGACTGATTAAAGGACTGTGATTTGTCAATACCTAAGCTTTTGTGAAATACATTAAGTTTTATTTTTAGCTTTAATAAAAACATTTACATTGGCATTCTTTTATTATTATTATTATGTTTATATTCTTTTTAACAATTAATGCAATAACATACATAGTGTTCAAAGGGGGTTAATGGTTTATGTTGCTGTCAAAAGCTATCACCATAAGCTGTGCATTTGCATAAAAATCAATTAAACTGCAAAAGTGAACAACATTTAATGTGTTTGAGTTGCATAGTAATTGCTGGAAAGTGTTGGCTGCTGTGCAAGGTGCTACTTTTGCTTCGACTATAGAGACACTTAACAGTAATGCTTGACAGGTTTGTTCGTACATGCTGGCTTTGTTGGTCTGAGAAGGAGGTAGAACAGATTAAAATGCCTGGTTATTCTCAAAAATGTAATTGCATTCTGCTACTTAATCTTCACAGACACAAGACACCCTTCACCTCTTCCCCTTTTCTTTCTGTTACAGTAGTTCATGGGCCACAAAGTGAACAAACGTCTTCCACGCAGCTTCTTGAAGACCTTGTGTTGTTGCTGAAATATTCAGAGCTAGGAAATTTGTTACAGTGACACTTCCTTGACTGCTGACAGACAAGTTCCCGGAACAAAAGATGAATCAAATAATACTGAATAACTCACTCAAGAAATGTGGGAACGCTGCCGCCTTCATGAAGAGCTGTTTGTTATTTCATTCAATGCTCGGGGCAGATATGGATCGCTACACATGCACAATGTGATGTTTCAATCAACTAGTTAAAAACCTAACTACCTTGTATAGAAAATGGACCCTGTTTCTAAATTGCTAAATCTGAAAGACCAGATGACATTGATTTGCTAATTTTCCCTGCAGTGAGCCTATTAATAGAATTGTTCACTATGTTTTCTGCTGCTTCTTGCTTTTACCTACATAAACACACTATTCCTGACAATGGCTGAGGACAGAAAATGACGGTTTCATAATTATAACAATCTCACCAATCAGTGCCAGATGATTACACAGACGTCAGACCGCTAACGTTCATTTCAAGTGTCATTTATCTGTATTTCTGTTGATTAAAATCATTTTAAACATACAGCACCAATATAGCTTCATTAATGGAAGATTGTGATCATTTATACAACCTACATGGTAGATGTTACATTAACCTAAACATATAGAAGTAAATATATTATCTCACTCAATACTAGGTTACTGGGAAGGACATTTGATGGTGTGTTAGAAGTTACATGACTTTTTGTTGTTAGTACAGCTTGTGAACATATTTCAGGTGAACAGCATGATGGGTTTTTTAAAAAATATGTAAATTAAAACAAATACATATGCAATTAGCAATTCATTACCTGCAGGAAAAAAAAAATACAGTTTGGAAGATTTCTGGGTATTCACTAATTAGCATCTTTTCTTTCTGGCTGCCATCAGTCTGATCAGCTTGTTTAGCCCACTGGCTACCAAACAAGCCAACCTGCTGAAATCATTCACTTGTTTGATTTGTGAAAACATAACAAACCTGGGGAAGAAAAGAGGTCTGAAAATGAGCAGGAATTTCTCCACATTTTCAACTCCTGTCTGCCACTCCTCGGAGACTGTCCTTTACTTTCATATGACATTGAAGAGGTGTGTCAACCAGGACGGCTCAACAGTGTTCAGAGCCTTTAACATCTCAGGACAAAGCCTATTCACCCCTGGAGCCCTGCCACTGCTGAACTCTTTAACCACCTCTAGGAACTCTATCAGAGAGAAGCACAAAGCTTTACCAAAGTCTCTTCACCCTGCCCCCCTCTGAGGAGGATGCAGCTCAGAGATCCTTAAAGTGGAAGCACTGCCTGCCGTTAATGGGTCATGTCTGAGTAGACTCTTTGTCATCCAGACTTTTCTTTTTTGATTCTTGAAGGCATTTCAGCTCTTATACAGGAGGCTTTCTCATTTATAACTGAACTGTAGGGAGTCCCCATAGTTATTCTCACCCACAAAACGTAAGGCTCAAGGTCCATCCACAATTGCCTTACAATCACACGGAACAACACTCAGGAGCCAGTTCCTCAGGAAAAGACTACATCCAAAGCACAAGCAATGTCCACAATCTATTAACAGAGAAGACACGTGGCTTAAGAGAGGAGTTTTAGTCATCTATGTTAAACTAGAACAGTCATTTTGAAATAGACGGCGCCTATGACGCCACTTATCAGGTACGTATAAGACAGTCCTCAGATCCTTCCCCAGACAGTTTCACCACAGTTGACATCTTGATTCATCCTGCACTTTGCAGTTTCACACCCATTCACACCTCGAGGCGTGTGAGTCTGGGTTCAGTGTGAGTTTCTCCTCTATGCATCCTTTTTGTCTTTTGGCACCCGCAATGTATAAAAGAGGTGTGAAACACAGCTGGAATATACAAACCATGTCAGCAGCATGTAATGTGCATCTATCAGTATTGACACATCACTCTTCATTTGCATAGTTCTCTTTTCTGTTTCACATCTGTTTACACTTCACATCATGCATGTGTATATTAACATGACATCTGTACATTCTCATCACATGATGCTACATTGCCAGTGGAATGAAAAGTAGATATATACTGTAAATGAACACTGTTCTGCTCATCTGACAGAGATCAGAAAATACAGCCATGCACGTTTGGGACTAAAACTTGAGGACACAAGCTGCGGAAAGGTATCGAGGATATAAAAACTGAGAAATGAGAAGAGGGGCTTGTGGGTTGAGGGCGAGAAAGGTTCTGGTGAACTAGAATTAACCTCCAAGTGTTTGGATGAGGAGACCATAACACACTCCCAAAACATTTCCCCAGTAAAATGCAAGACACTGCACCAAAATAAAGTTTTGCAAGAGTTATGTACAGTATGTGCTGGATATTTTAGCACTACAATGAAGCAAAACCAAAAATGATCTTAATTTCATATTCATAAGCCAGAAAGCAACACAGCAGATGACAGAAGTTAGATTTATGTCTCAAGTGCAAAGTATCTGGCTGACTTCACTGATCCACACTGTGCCCTTTAGTTATTTTTGTTTGACTAAATTGTCAAGGAAAAAAAAAGTGAAGGTGTTGCTCTTCTCCACTGACCTTTGTACCGAGCCGGAGTGAAGAAGCACTCTGTGGCAGAGCTGGATAGATGAGCCACAACTTTCTCCAGAAGGTCAGCCAGCACTGGGGAGCAAAAACAGACACGTAAAAAAAATAAACCCGAGCTCCAATAAATATTGCTTTCAAAGATAATCAGATCTTCAAATTCAGATACGTCAGCGCCTTTACTTCATCCTGTTCTGTTTGCTATTAAGCAGCTATAAGTTGACTGGACAGATACTTCCTGTAAGACATCAAGCGTACTTAGCCATCACTGAGTCATTAGCATTAAAAATTACTAATGAAAGATATATATATATATATATATAGACAGATTAGAAGTGAAGCAGCATTACATCTAGGATGGGCGTTTCTACTACAGGAGATCGTGGCTGAGCAGCGAGAAAACATGTATCATCATCAGTGGGCTCTGCAAATGTGCATCCGCTCATATCAATTTGTGGCTTCACTGCCCCTGACTATCCCTGAGTAAACCCTGTCAGCTTTGCTTTTAGTGTCATATCACATCGCTGGGCAAAGAAACCGCCCACAGTCACTGAAGATCTAATTGTGGAAATAAGAGGGAAACACTGGGTGATGAGGCTGCTAGAAAAAGTCATACAGAGAATACGGCATCAATCTCTCACAACAGAGTGGCCCAGAGCACAACCGAGAGGCTGCAGAACCTGTTGTTTGAACTTGTGGTACAGGTGAGTAACTATCATTGCTTTCTAAATTGTTATTATTTGATTAAGTAAGCATTTAAAGGACTTTAGATGGAATTTTGTAATAATTTCTTAAAACGTGTTTACCTTGGCAGCTGTACTGTGAGTTGTATCCCTAACTTCACTTAATATTTACATTTTTGCATTATAGATTCCTTTATTTTGGCTCTAGGACCAACATTTTCTGGCATGAAATACATGCCAAGTGTCAAGAGAACCAAATTCGTGAATACTCAGTTTTCATTCCACCTGCCACAGGTGCCACAAGGATGCAGGTGCACATTTGTACTGAAATGTCAGCTATTTTGTAAACATTAAAGTGCAGCCTTCCAATCATTTCACAAGCTGCCAGTTTAGAAAACACAATAGGAGCTGATCATAACGTCTAACGTGACTCACAATGCGACTCAGTGACTAACGAATGCATCTCATTGATATGCTGTTGAGGGAGGTGAATTAGGCAATCAATAAGCTGACAAGATAGTGAGGTATTGAACATGAAACTATTCTAATTCGAAGTGTTTTGATGAAGAGATAGTATAGTTCATCATTTTTGTCTTGGCGCTGAATGGAAGCCTGTCAAAAACACAAGTGATAATCACAGCGACTTCAGAACTAGAGAAAAGTAAATGTTCAATAAATTGCGGAGGAAATCGAGTTAATTTAGTAGTCGGCCCATAAAAGCTACAATTTCCTTCACTGAATGTTTCTTGAAAAGTTAAATGTTAGGTTTTGTGTGGTTAATGATGTGCCAAACAAAATAACATTTCTAAAGCAGGGGGAAGTTTAATAAATCTGAATTGTGGTCTTCCAGTGAAAAACCCCAACTGAGCAGCACAGAGCAGAGAGTAGATCTTTTACTGACTCGAGTTCAACAGTGTGCTGATGAAAAGAAGCAATCACTGTACAGTAGATGCATTAATGAGAAGATTGTTAGGCCTCCTTCATTTGAATTTTTGTCTATTTTTGTCTTCCATGAATCACAGCTATTTACTCCTACATAGGAGAAGTGGGGGTAGGTGTAATTTCAGAGGCTGTCAGTGCTGATGGGTTCTTAAAAGGTTCATGGACATCAGATTTATGTCGTCTTGGTGGATTAAAGTGCGTAGTGCGCCTGCATCACAGAACAGGACATCAGCAGGTGTCTTTTCCTAATTATCAATACACTTAAAATAGTTAGACACTTTACAGCGAGCTAACAAGAAACTGATGTCATTAAAGTGGACTCATTTGACTTTCATATCTATTTAAATGAATAACCATGTGTGATGTGTTTCCATGGACTCACATAGCATTTATATAACAGAGTCTAGAGACACGAGGGCTGATCGGCCCACTGGAAAACAACGGTGAGAAATAACATTTAAGCATGAAATTTGCAAACGCAGCACTTAACATTTTGTCTCCGAGATTATAGCGCTGCTAAGTTGTGGTGCGATGTGCTGCTATTAAACAAATGAAGAGGGGGTGTAAAATACACACATCACATAGGTTCAGGGCTGTTAAAAGACAGAAAAGAGAGTAATGCCCTGTTGACACTTTGCATTAATATGCGCCTTGGGTGATTTGATCTCAAGTGGACGGCTGAAAGTACATCACTTCACAGCTGGAATTAGAATTTTGAGTGGCCACTTGTGATCACATCTCACTTCCACCACTCTACATGCTTTACATTATTTCCTGTTGGCAAGAATATATATGCGTTGTTGTTTTTAACCAACAGGAGGCAGCAATGCATTTTCTAGTCTGCTCCAAATTCAAACAAGTTGAAGAAGAAAGGTTGATGATTGTTGTTGCACTTTAGAACAGAGATGCTTCCTTTTTAAGCACACATCTGTGTAGAAAACGTGCGTTGTAATTGTTCACATACTCGCGTGTGATTTGACACTAGACATAAACTAAAAACATGGTGACACTCGAGGAGGTTGGTATGTGGTCAGTGATAAGTGGTTGATAAAACTGCTTTACAAGCACAGGCGACACACTGTCAGCACCCACCATTCAAAATTTTTTGACATGAGCAGATGTAACGGTCTCAAACTTGTTTCCATGTATTTTTGCAGACTTCCATTTCAACTTCTAAATGCTACTGATCTCTCGACAGCTATTTTAACAAGCAGATTTAGGTTTTCTTGTCCCCAGTGTGCCCTGGGTGCATTCACACCTGTGTTTTGAGCTGTTCATTTAGAATCGGATCACCCAAGACACAGGCTACTGTCAGGTGTTAATGGCCTCACACCGGCACATAAGTTAAAAGTCAAACTTGAATTCAAATAATCCGTGTTTCACTCCAACTCAGATCTTAATTGTGTCAAAATCCATTAAACTTTTTGCCTGTTGTACTGTACAAACATTACTCTCTTTCCATTATTGCTGTTATTGTACAAGTATTTTATACTGAACACCCACAGCTGATGGGTTGTTATCAGGATAAATTCCTGTTATAATCTCTTTTATCTTAAACATTCTGTTAGTCTTCAGAGTCTGTTACTGTGAGTTATAATGAAAACAAAGATCTCATTTACATTTAATCACTTCTTCTGTTATGGGTGGACTGGGTGCTTCCAAGAAGCATTTGAGTTGGATTAAAATCAGATTGCTCAAACCATCTCCAGAGGGATGTTTATTTAAGCCTTTCTCAAGACTATGTAATTTAGCTTTGGCAATAATGCATCTTTAACATTCATGCCAATAAATCTTATTTGAACGTTATTAAAAGGTGTAAATGGATCTACTCCTTCTATGTGCAGTCAGTCGTCTGTGAAGGTGAAAGGAAAGACAGTCATGTTTGACCGTGGAATGATTTGTGGGTTAGAGAGTACTGATATGAAGGAGTGAAATGAATAAAAACCCATGAGGACAACACAATTTTCATCTTTCGCGTTGTGATAAATGTGATTAATTTGATGTGTTTGTCTTCATGGATGAGTCTTAGATTGTTACTGCGAGCTATTAACTGATAAAATGCACCAGTTATTCTCCTTCTACATTTTCGTCAGTGACTAAACATCGTCAGGTGCATTACCAGTCGCCTCCAGCATGTAACACTCAATTACCCAGAATGGCTTGTGAGACACTCCCTGTGCCCCTTGGTTAGCCTTTTTTTTTGGCTTTAACATGCATTTATTGTAGTTACTTCTAAGACTTTATTCATTTTCTTGTCAAAAAGTAAATTTCCAGCTCATCTTCTGATGCATTAGTCATCGCAGTGACTCATTCCCTTTTACAACAACAACACTGTCAGCATGAATCTATTGTCAGCATGTATGCAGTATTATCATTATGTTATTAAGGCTGAAATGTCCTGGCTAGAAGGCAGCCCAGAAAACCAGTAGCTTACCCTTTCCGGTTAGGATGTTGGGCTCTGAGGTCATGACTTTGCAGTACTGTCTCCGGCAGTTCTCCATCCAGCTCTCATCGTTGTTTGAGTCTTTTGGTGAAGCCAGAAATGCGCTGATCTCAGAGTCTGCACATGGGAGACGAACTACAGGTGAAATATCAGCATAATGAAGTTAATATTAATAATTATATCGATGTTCCGCTTACCCTGTAAACTATGTTGGATCTCTGGTGGGTCCAAACTGTAGCAGCGAGGTAGAGGATAGCATGAAAACATAGGCCAGGGGTAAGGATGTTCTCCCTGGGGGGAGTAGATAAGAAAATTCAGTGACTACTGCCAGAGCCCCTATAGAAAAGGTTTGCTGCTCTGAAGCCATCTTGGTAAAGCCCCCGAGCAGTTATTTTGAGCTAACAAGCCCAGGTTCCTACGTAAATAATTGGGGAGAGAGCCACAACAGCAATTGCAATTGTCAACTGGACGTAAAAACTGCATGTATAGAACCACCAGTCAGATCAGAATAAAAAGGCACATGTAAGGGTTGGAATCTTTGCCAAAAAATAAGGTAAAAATGTTTTTCCCCGCTGGATGTATTTATAGAAAAGGTATGCCATCTGGAATGCAGCCACAGATTTCTATTCAAGATTCTTGAAGTGACAAATCTGTCCCTTATAACATCTCTCCTACTGCTCAGAATCACATGCTTAAATGTCACTAACATACACACTGTGTGAAGCTACGGTGGATAAGATCTTTTCAAATCTACATGATTCATGATATTTGCATTGTTTTCTTAAATCAATTTCCTCTCTGCTCCAACTCGATAGCTGCTATGGCTGCTTATGAGGTCACCTGATAAGAAAAACACTACAAAATGTGAACAGTGTCATACAGTTTTACAGTGACTTACTGATGGCTTCATTACTAAGCTGTTCTTCTGCACTAAGCTGGTAGCAGCTAATCAAATGATCGGTAATATTTATGTGCCATCATTTATTTCCTCCATTCTCTGGTTTTATTTCTCTTTTCCTTCATTCATTCCTTTCTTTGGAGCCCAAAGCCAGTTCATTATTCTTGTCATGACTTATTTTTGAAGAACCATAACTTGTGAGTCATGGCTCAGCATGTGACATATACCAAAATAATATGCTCTAAATGTCAATGAGGTTTAGAAAGCAGACCTCTTTATCCAATTGTCTGTGCTCGCCGCTTATGATAATCCCTGCTGGTATTTGAGTCTACCTCTCAATAATGTGGTTCTCTGAGAACGTTGGACAAAATGTATGTTAGGGAGGCATTGATGATTACAGACAGTCTTTATGCAGCTTTTGGAATTGTAGTGATTCTGTGAGCAAGATGATTTGCAAGACTTGACATTATTGCCAGTTTTACATATTTTTCCACATGGAAATGTCCTGTTCTGTCACTCTTCACAACACTGTTGTTGGAAGTTTAAAAACAGGACACACAGTTAGGACTATAGCCAGAAATTTAGAAATCATGAGGCCTAATTCCTCCACAACCCTTAAAAACATTTTTATGACCCGCAAAACTATTATTTCAAAAATATTACCCTTTACTTATTTAATCATCTTCTAAATTATCCTGTACCATAAACCTACTTAACCTTCCCAGAGAGAGATGAAGTAGCATCCTACCTAGTCAGTGTGCAAGAGGCAGGCTATGCTGTACCCGGGTCACCAGTCAATCACGACTCTCACACAGAAAACTGCACGTCTTTGGAGTGTCGGAGGTGCAAACCCCACACCACCTTATTCTGAGCTGGAAGAGTCAGCCACACTGCACTGCCAAGCTGCATATCAATGATACTTTCTGATTTTTTTATTTCTCCACATTAAGGTTTAAAAGTTGTTTCTTTGCACTGTGTAATTTGGTGGAGTGTAGTGATAGCTGCTGTCTGTCTCTTTCAAGACTTTATGACAGTTATGACCTCAGTGTCTCCTGGTGATTTTGTTTTTTTGTGCGCACTTAAAGTTTTACAAAAACAGCGTCCTAGAGTTGTGTTTGGATACTTTAATCAAATGCAGAAGTGAAAAAAGGTGACAGTTCCACTTCTGACAAATGAAATATTTGAATTATCATTTAATTAAAGTCTAAACAATTTGACTTTTAAAATATTCTTTTCATAGCTGTCCCGGCATTCATCAGTTCTCCTTGTTGCTGGTAAATATTACTGTCAGAACTGTCAGCACCAACCATTGTTTTAACACAATAATGCTTCTTATTTTATGTCTCACTAAAAGCAGAATTATTTCATTTGTTTTGTAAACTTCAAACAAATTTTGTACTTATTTAACAGCTTTCTGCTTCTGGTATTATCTTCAAGTAACAGGGGAAATGAATAAAAAGAGACCTGTGAAACATGAAGGAAACACTCACTAAGCTAATTAACACTCTCCCTCTTCGAAATCTCTTTCATATCCTTTCCTTGACCTCAGCATAAATTAGTTCCTGTTTGGAGTTTGGTATAAACAACACCTAAATAATTGATATCTATCCCAAAACATGCTGAGTAAATAAGGCTGCAGGCTTCAAACAAGGACTGAAGCGCTGATGGTGATCAAGTAGGGCTCTTCATCTGTGCTAAAATTACCAATAACTCGGGCAACAGAATGGAGACGGGCGGATGGATTTGTGGTTGGATCGTGAGGACAGAGAATACTGAGTTTGTGGAAATTATAAAGAGTGAAACGAAAGATTTAAAAGAGTTTCTCAATTTCATTTTGTGCGTGTGTTTTTTTTTTTTACTAAGTTCCCGTGCAACGAAAAAGTAGGTTTGACAGTGGAGATGTCCAGAAAGACCATAAGTTGGGAGAAATACGTTTGTTTTTACCAGCTACAATGGAAAGAGTCTCTATATGTATGTGTGTGTGTGCGTGTGTGTTTTTCTTGATAATCATCCATTTGATCTCCTTCACACTCAGTGAGTGTATAGCAGGGTCCCAAGGAAGTGCAGAGCCAAACATGAAGTGAAATGGATGAGCAGTCTTTATATTTACTTTCTCAACAGCATTCTTTCAATGATTGTGTCCTCAGCGGGCCTCAGGAAGTTGACAGCGCATTCACAACAGTTCACTGACCGCAGCTCATTCTAACTTCAAACTAAATGCAAACTTATTACTGCCAAACGTGAACTCCTTATGGATGCTAAATATAGTACCGTTCAGCCTTCCCACTATTTTCCCACCACGTTGGTTGTGTCAAAGCAGGCGACAGACAAAATCGAGTTTGCATTTGATTTCAGCAACAGCTAGCTTGGTTTGCACTGGTTCTGCTTCTCAGGCTCACACACATGTTTCGTTAAGTAAGTGCATCCATATAGCTGTCCTGTTTCTTTGTGTGTTGTTGCTCTCCTCCTCAGGCTCGCTTTGAGCACTTTTTGTTTCTTATTATACATTAACACAGACCCACAGGGTAAACCGCAAAAATAACATTAAATGTTAGCCTATGCATCCATAATCAATCAGCTATAAACAATGTCATATAAGTGGATTGCAGTCCCATACCAGTGCTGTCGGATCATTGCAGCTAAATCGGCTGTGTATTTGCTGACACACCCCATTCGTCCTGCAATGAATGACTTCAATCACTCACTCATGCTGAAAGCTGCAGTCGGCCAATTCTAAACAGGCACATTTCGAACGGGCACTGGCCTGGTGTGTCCAAAACAGCCTTGCAATGATGCAGCTGTTATCATGGTTGTTTAATATGCAGCTGGTTTGTAAAAAAAAAAAAAAAAGCTAACAAAGCTGACAAAAAAACAGCTTTTTGTCCACCCCTAACTCTCTGTTGCCACTTTTTCATGCATTTTCTGGCATAAAAGACACTTTTTTTTTGTTCACGTCAACCCCTGTAACATAAACACATATAATTCTAGCTTTCTTTTGTGCAAACATCCTAGGATTCTACTCAACAGGAGGAAAGAATCCGCTTCAATTCAAAACCAGCTGAAGGTTGAAAAGTAAGGCAGACCTCTTGCAGGGCTCGAGCGGGAAGCCTCCTCTCAGACGGGCCTCCGATCGCACTGACGCGAACCAGCACATGATTCCTCTCCACCGACAGGCTGTCTATGATGAACTCCCTGAGAAGAGCAGAGAAAAGAGAAGGTTGTTTCAATAATTTAAACAGAGAAGTCCCGATGAGGTTAGCAGCTGCTTTTCAAGGCAGATTAGACAAAAATGAAGGTGTGAGAATAGTTAAATAATGAGGGTGGACTCATGCCCAGATGTAATAAATGTTCACTGAGATTTGTGTTCAACAGCATTTCCACAGAATGACCTAATGAGAAGTGAAATAAAAGACTGAGGGAAGAGGACTTTTGGCCTATTATGCATACATTGATGTGCAGAAGTGTATGTAATATTTTTCATAGGCAAGGTCACCCAAATTAAAATGGCCCTGCACTTCAAAACTTTTCCAATTTAATGCAGCTCCATAAGTTTCTTCTTCATCAAGTAATATGAAAGACTTTGCGCAGAGTTTGAAGCCTCTGAATAACTGCAACTGTATCATTGCTGTAAGGCAAGTTAGAAAAGAGAGATGGGTTTTAATGTTAGAATTTCAGATAAGATCAGAGAATGGTCCAATTACAAAGGCACTTTAGGATCGAAGGGCGTCAGCCTTGGTGGATAGTTCTCATAGCTGAAGCAATTCAGTCTTGAAATTGGTAATAAAGAGGACTGTGTACAGTTCTCTTTCCAAGGGCCTGTTTGCCACAAAATGTAATTTGCACATGTCTAAAAAAAAAAAAAAATCAAAGTAGTCATGGCTCAAACAGCAGAAGCTTTAAAAAAAAAAGTGCAAAATTGCCCACAAACACAGTTTTGTTGAGTACTGGTGTCACTGATATTAGAAAGGAGAGAAACAAGAAAGGAATAGGAAGAAGTAGGGGAAGAGAATGACAACAAAAACCAGGGTAACTCAGAGGTCAGATGCCAAAAAGTAAAGTTGAGATGACATTGAACAGGGGAAAAAAAAGAAGAGGAAGAGAGCAAGGTAAAAAGAAAAGACGAAACGGTGATGTCCATGATGATAATGGGAGCACCAGAGGAAGAGACGGCAGGAGATGGGAGGATAAATTAAGAAGTCATCATTCTCCAAAATTGAGCCAGCCGTCAGACATGCGATGTGAGTTGGCATTTCAGGGCCATTTCCATTCATAACCAATAGCCATGGCTCTGGCAGCCATTACCAAGGGAGAGAGGGCTCTTTCGGAAATGGCCTTTTCACTTTCTTTCCGCTTTATTTCATTTTATTTGTGACAAGGCAAACAAACAAACAATTTCTCATCCTGAGCAATGATTAAATCTGAAAGTGTTCTGTCATATCAGGATGATGCACAGAGAAGCAAAAAAGCTTTACTGAATGAGTATGAGAGAAAATGACGACGTGACGGTTGAATGTGCTAAACTGTTGAAATGTCTGAATGTCTGAAATAACTTCCCTCGGATGAACTTATCTGTGGCTGGAGTGTCCTGAACCCTCTAGACAGCACATATGCTTTGATTGAAATGTTTAGGAAAGCCACAAGAGTCATTTTGAACTTTGCAGAAAGAGAGCGAGCTGTTTCCTACTGATATTTTAGTTTTTGTGTGAAGCAAAGCAAAGCAGCTCGACATGTTTCATGTTTAAATTGAAATATAAGGTTGGCTGTTGCTGAATAAGTTCTGCAAATCCCATGAAATGACCAAAACCTACAAAGGATTACTTTGTCTTTTAGTACTTTCCAACATTAGTTACAGTCATCGTGGCGCTACAGTGTGCGCTTCAGTTGAAAATAACAACAATGAAAGAGCACCATATGATCAATAATAATTATTTTGTATATTTTGACTTGTCCTTTAGAAAGCAGTTTATCTGTCTTGTTAAATGTTCTGCTCTAAATGTACCTTGGTTACAATTCTTTAGAAAAAAAATTAATCCAGGAGATCAGTATCACAATTATCTTTAATGTTGATTTTAATAAATTTTTTTAGTGATGCATGATAATAAAATTTCTGGCCAACACCAAGATCCGATATTAAGATTTCTGATATCACCGATAACTGATATCCCCGATGTTGATATTCAGTTTTTGTTCACACTGAAAAATGAGTCTAAGCATGCACTGTGAGAACGTGAAAACTATTCAAAAGAAGCCCATACCAAATTAGACCACATAGCCTTCTTTATTACGTAACAAAAGTAAAACATATTTAAACATATTCTAACATATTTAACGTTCAAGTCCAGGACCATTTAAGTAAAGACATCCTTGAAATAGCAGCAATGTTAAATATAGAGACGAAGGCACTAATGTTAGATAATCCTCAGTTTTTCACATCGGTTAAATTTGTTCATCGGACCGATACCGATATATCGGAAAAAAACACTAATATCGGCCGATACCAGTGTGGTCGCCGATATATCGTGCATTCCTAATTATAAGATATAATTGTGGTTGGACCTTATAGCAGAATTTAAGCCACTTTAATATGAACTCGTATTTTGTTTTTGCAAGCTAAAAAAGGGAAGTTATAAATTATAATAACAATAAAAAAAAAAAAAAGCAAATTGTCTGAGTATGCACAGGGATAAACATATAACTAAACGTTCATGCGTGTGTTAATGAGTTCATACCCCTCACTGGTGTCTGGGTCAGCGATGTTCTCCCTCTGACTCTGCAGCAGCATGGAGCAGATGTTATACTGGCTCTCCATCAGTAGAAACGAGTCCAGATTACAGCAGAGCACACTGAGCAGTCTGCAGCAATGCACACAAACAAACAAAGACGTCAGAACACAGAGAGGACTGGCAGCCTGAGATACTGTAGCAGAGCAGCAGCGCTGACAAATGTAATTTAGAACATGCAATACAGCAGGGTGGAAGCATGCAGCCAAAGATCCCATTTGGACTTTGGCTGTCTGTTTTCCCCTGGCCTTCTCTGTCTGCAAGTACTGGGTCAGTCAACACCATTTTTTTTCTCCCACCAGCTTGCCATAGCCAATTGTAAGCTTTGTTAAGTAGTAACCCTAGGGAAAGGTTTCATGGTTGATTTTCAGCTGCTGGTAATGACACCAGGACCAAGCAGCCTGTTAAGCTCCAGCTGCATTTTGAAACACTGAAGAAGCAGAAAGTACAAAAAGCCAGAGAAAGCTCAGTGTTTTAGGCCACCGTCCATGACCTGCAGAGAGTCAACGCTTCATACAGTATATGACAAAAACAAACAAACGATGCATCACTGAGTTTTAAACATAACTGTCACTGCTGGTCACTTCTGTTAGCTACAGTGTTTGTTTTTTTTATATATTTTGTAGAAATTAGAGGTAGAATCATGCTAAAAATCCCAAGGACACAAGGGCAGATTAAATTTCCCTTTTCCACAACTTTCTCCCTTCAGCAGAGCAGGCTTGATTCCATTTACGTAAGTGCGTATTAGAAAGATCCTATATGTGTGTCAAGGATGTGCAGCATTAATCACAACAATCTAGTTAATGTTTATTGTCTACCTGCTCTCCAGACTACCTCTGCAATTAATTCTGTCCAAATTAGTTTTGCATATTAGATCGCCAGTAAATTGATTTTCTCAAGGAAGGCTTTGGGTTGCTACATTTCGCTCCATACCTACACTACAGATTCAGCTATTTCCGCATAATAAATGGCACAATTGCTGGTTGTAAGATCCAGGATTAGATATCAGGCCAGCGTGGCTGCAGATTCAAATGGTCACAAGTGGCTGCTCATCTAAGCAACCTGTTTATCATAAACTAATTCGATCTAATCCCTTTGACATATGCTAAAGTTAAATACAGATAGGTTGTGTCATAACATGCTTTTTCATCCCAGTCTTCAAAGAAATATAAGCTTTGAACAGTTTTTGTCTGTATTTTTTGTTAAATAATTCAATGATATTTTACAGATGTTCCTTGTTTTGGTAAATTACAGTAAACAACCAGTAAAATCATAGCAGAAAAAAAAAATCTGTGTAACTGTCCATAATGTTCACACAAAAAAATCTGTATTTTAACAAAAAAAAATGTTATTGTACAGATTTTGATAACTTAGATTCCATGCATTCCTACAGTTTCAAACACTACTTGCAGTCCAACATACCACAATATGAGTTTACTGTCGGCCCAGAGACATAAACTTAGACAGCATCCTTAAGCATCAACCTGGTATAAATGCCAGACACTGCTTTACTCAACTGGTTCACAAAACCCATTATACCAAATCCAGACTTTCTGACATTTTCCCATGAGCCTCCTCTCCCTGTGAGGAACACTCCTCGCCCACAAGCTTTGGTCCTACTCAGAACTGAAACTTTCTGCACACTCACATTTGATTAGCTGTCAAATGCCTTCAAAAAAAGCATCACTCCAGAGTCCTGGTTGTCTATATTTGGCCTAATGCCTGCCCCCTCCTCTTTAAATGAGTATAAAGAAAATCCCATTTCTCTTCTCAGGAATAAGGCCTGTGCTCCAAATATTGCTAAAAGATCTGGCAAATGTGATTTACCTGGAAAGAATTAGATTTTTTTTTTTCTTTTTCAAGATTTGGCAACCCTTTGTTGACAGATGGGAGGCAACCTAGAAGACTTCCACCCCTTGCAGCTGAGGTAGGGTTAACTGCTGCTCTGTGGCCCTGCCACAAACAGGTACGCTCCACCAGATAGCACCGATGGGTTTGTGTGTGCATGTTTATTTTTGTCGCGTTAACAAAATGGCCCTCTCATCACATCAGGTAATACTACATGAAGATTTTTCCCACTTTTAAGCTGTATGGCAAGTCGTGTTAACAGTAACGTACAGACTGGATATGCTTTGCAGATTTTTAAAATGAAATTCTTCCTCGTCACAAAGAACATGAGATATCCACAAGGACGTTCTTCCAATCCACAACTGTAATTTCAGATATCCACACTATCAATTCCTCTGTGAAAATGACCACTCATGTATGAGGTTTCTCATTACAGATATCTACAATTACAGGTATCTGTAATGCAGCCACACCTCCGGTTCCAGATATCTACAGTTTAATTCTGACGAGTCATAAATCTAATTCAAGACATTTTTTTGTCCCTTCAAGATACCTTACATTAGGTTTGAACCAATCAGAATGATGTTGTACATCCCAAACTGGAACTCTGACTAGTCAAAATCTAATCATAGATACCCCAAATTAGAGTTTTTACAAGGTGAAATGACACTGGAGTTATCTGTAGTTACGCAAGAAGCTACAACAAGTGGAAGCCTGAGGCAGCTTGCTTTTCAAACATACCATGATACTGCAAAACCCTAACTGCATACAAGAAGTCACAGCAACTGCCATCGATCTGCTAACGCGTGGCTGGACCAACATTCAGTGGGAAGCCTCACATGAGCAGCATCATGCACAACAATTCAGACCAGTCATAACGATGTTTAACATATCTGCAGCTGCTATTTTTACCGGTTAAAATTGAATTACAGACATTTTGCTTTACTGCTACACTTTTTTTTTCCCTTCCTGCTCAACACTGTAGTCTGTGCAGCATCTGCACCGGTCACCTGCAACCTCAACAACAAGAATCTGTAAAGGCACTGTTCGAGGCACATTTTTACAATTCTGTTTGCGTAGGAGCTTAAGATAACATAACTACTGTGGTGTGCGCTCACATGCTACAGTAATTTCTGGGCAGCTTGTGAGTCTCCGTCTGCTTCCACTGTCCTGTTCCAGGCCAAACTAATAACCTCCTGGGTCCAGGTACATACTTAATGCACAGACACGAGAGTAGTTTCCATCTTCTCATCTAACTCTCAGCAAGAAAGCAAATAAGCGTAATATCCAAGGTGCTGAACTAAAGTGCTTCTTTAAAATGGAGACCTCCGGACCTGTCTTCACTTTTTTGCAGTATCTTCTCATCATTTCACATAAATATACTGTAAATTAGGATAATGGGGAATACTGTGTGATAACTTTTCTAAAAAATGACTAATTGCCAATTTATCATAGAAAACCCAAATACTGTGGTACAGTTTTTAATTGACCAAGACCATAATGAAGTAATTAATAACACTATCATCTTGCTGTTTCCATGGTAATCCACGAGTCTTTAAATGAGTGAAAATTTGTTTTGCTCACTAAAATCCCAGTTTGCATTGCATAACATATTAACGTATTCTCCGACAGATTTATGTAAGTGTCATTTCTTTTTCATCGATACAGAAACTATTGAGCCACAGTTTGTTTTTTTCAAAATAAGCCATTCAAATTTACAAATGAATAGTTAAAGGAAAAGAAATGTCAATTATTCTTGAACATTTCAAAGGTTGTTTAAAATTACCTGGATCCCACGATTCCCAGAATATCATTTTAACTGCTGACGAGTGTATTCGTGTGCCGACACACAGGAGGCAATAATATAAGCTCAGCGTGTTGTTTAGCACGTTGTGAGTGCGTTGAATGTGTGAGCTCCTGTGAGGAACACCTCTCCTTTGAAGCAGCTGCTTCATCTCCTGATGTGCTGGGCAGTGACTTGGACTCCTGTTTGACTGACAACTGTACTCACTCTTTCTGACAGCAGCACAGTAAGAGGCTGAGAGTCTGTCAGACCTTTTGACCTCTCTCTGTTTGAAACAAAGGAATGGGGAACCAGGTCTACTTCCAGTTTGTCTCTTTGATAGGTTTCTTTGACCGAGTGGGGCGAAGTGTCCAATCAGTGCCCTGCTCTTAATAGCAATTTATGGCAGCACAGTAGCAATTTTGTTGTCTGTGGGAGTTTTTGTTCCAAGTTCAGGGCTCCAGACTATTTTTATTGGTTGCACTCATGCACCTAACTTTTACTTTTAGGTGCAACACATTTTGTTCGTGTTTCTGACTCCTCAGTGCTTCAGTTTTTTTTGCTGCTTGGTGGTGAAATGGTTCGGGAAGGGTCAGCCATTGGACACACTTTTTGCAAAAAAAGCAAAGCATAATGTTGGCCTTTTTGTGTTTGACACAGATTGAGAATGAGTGTTGGTGTTGGGTGGCACAGCATGAATGATGCAAATGCAGAGAAGTTTTGACGCTATTTACCAACGTTCACTAAATTGATCACATTCATCTGTAAACACTAATGGGTGGTTTTGCACAGAGAAGCCTCTAGTCTCCACTTTCAGTTACGGCAGTGCAGCAGCTCTAACTGCTGTATGATCAGATGTTACTTTAAACACAGAACAAATAATTTCTAAAGGAATTACATGAAACAGTACAAAATGCATATCACAACTCCACTGATGCAAGTAAAATTTCTATTTTAATCCAAACAAAACCCCAAAGATACTCAGAATACCATCACAGAAATACAGCAAACATTTGCGTTTTTGCTCAGAAAATAAGTCGTAAACTTTCAATAATCTCTTATCAAGTAATCAATTATTTACGCTCTGCTTGTTTGCAAACCCAATGTTGTTTCTCAAGTATAGACAGCTTTTCAACAACCTCACATTCCTTGTGAAAGTCATATAAAAAGCCTGAGAATCTTGAGCCAACATACACTATGTTGCCAAAAGTATTCGCTCACCTGCCTTGACTCGCATATGAACTTAAGTGACATCCCATTCTTAATCCATAGGGTTTAATATGACACTGGTCCACCCTTTGCAGCTATAACAGCTTCAACTCTTCTGGGAAGACTGTCCACAAGGTTTAGGAGTGTGTTTATGGGGATTTTTGACCTATCTTCCAGAAGTGCATTTGTGAGGTCACACACTGATGTTAGACGAGAAGGCCTCTCTCTCAGT